TTTTTTAATCCTCCAGATCTCTGCTCAAGGATCACTTGCTGAAAAGCCTTTTCAGGCTTTTCTAAGTAGGTTACAGTCTATTATTAGAGGCTCTGAGAGCACAGGCAGCACTTGTTACAGTTTTACGTTTTGTTGGTGGGATTAGTTAACACTCTGAGTAACATAATTAACACTTTTGTGTCTGGCTGGGGGCAATGCATGATAACAGCATAGGGGCGTGCTCAAAACATCCCCAGGCTTCTAGCCCAGGGCGTGGCACCTGTAGTACTGGGAGGGAGGAAAATTTCCCTTTTGCCCTAGGAAGGTTTGCTGAAAAATCAACTCCCATAAAGCAGATTAATGAGAGAAAAGCTATACACATTTTATTGTTACTGTGCCCACAGGGAGAATGACAGAATGATTGCCCAATATCACAATAACCCAAATACTTATAGATCTTTGTGTGTGGGGGGCGGTGTGAATGAGAGATCGGAAATACAGGTAATTCTGTTGCAAGGCAATAAATGGCTACTCGGTGGATGGGAATAGATACTTGGAGAACGAGTGGGGGGGGCGCAGACAGATTGACTTGTAAATGATTTTCCTTGGAAATTAAATTTACCCGAGAGATAGGGATTATTTTGAAAATGGGTTGGGTCAGGTCTGGTGGCATTCTTGATCCTCTCTCCTGCAATAGCTAATGAGATAACAGGGAGGGGAAGGGTTGGGTCCCTCTAGCCTTAATGGAGATAAGAGGAATGCACCTTCCACTGCCTGGTGATCTCTGATGGCCTTAAATCCAAATCGTTCTTTATACCAAGACGTTGTATCTCGGGCTGAAATTGCCTGCACCTGTTCAGTAGATCTACAATTTATATTTTAGACAGATTTTTGACTGCAATTGCTTAGGAGAAAGGTGGATTGAAAGTATATACCTGGGAGTCATCAGCACGGAGGTGCAGCCCTGAAAATGCACAGGAAACAAAGCTCTTGGGTTAAACAAGATGACGGCTACTGGGGACCTTGTGGAGGTGGGATAATTGGACTGAAGGCAAATGACTGTCACCTGAAGGGGGAGGAAGTAGAAACACTTAATAGAGATGGCACTGCCACTAAGTTTTGCACTGAATGTGAGGGAAAAGATAGGTGGCACCATGGTTAATTCTTTAATAACACAATTGTATTATATGCTTTTTTGACTGACTGAAAAGCAAGGATTTACAGGTAGCATTGAAAGTAGCAAGGACATGGGGATTGTGTAGGGCTTACCTTTGAAGCACAGGCCTTGAAGGAATGTGTGGTGTAGATGTTTATGCCAGTCTTTTGAATGCAAATAAGTTATTTGTGACTCTTCCTACGACTTTACCTCGACTTTATCCTAGCTCACAGCAAACTCAACCTCCTGGGCTTCCTGCCTCAGCCTCAGAGTAGCTTGGACTATTGCAATGGCCACAACCCCTGCTAATTTTTCTATTCTTTTCTAGAAACTGGGTCTCACTCTTGCTCAGGCTGGTCTCTAGCTCCTGAGCTCGAGGGATTCTCCTGCCTCGGCCTCCCAGAGTGCTAGGACTACAGGTAATGCCACAGCACCTGGCCCAGTCTTTCTTATTCTTAAGCCTTGATCTTGGGTAGCAAACTGGAGCTCTAGGGTTTACTTAGCCTGTACTTAAATTTTTTTTTTTAATTTGATTTAAATTTCTTTAACAAGAGACTTTTGGCTCTCAGGAATACTCATCACTTTATGGTGGCACATGACCTGCCTGGGCTGTGTGCCTTAGGAGCTTGGAACCCCACCCCAGCCGACAAGTTTTCTATGCTTTGCACTGTGGGACAGAGGGAAGGAGAAATAAAGGTTGTTTTTCTGAGCTGATAAGATTAGAGCTACAGTGTATTGTCTGTGAAGCTGTATGAAATCAATTCTAAAACCAGACAGGATTTAGTGGCTTTCACCCAGAATAAATAGCCCTTGCTCACTTTCCCAGGTCAAGCCAGCCCCATTCACCACTTCCTATTCATTTAAAAACCAGGAAGACTCATAATTTAGGCTGACCTTGCCCGGGAGAGCACAGCACAGAAGACAATAGCTGTTGCAGTCTTTCTTTCCCTTTTTAAAACCAGTAGTATTTGCACCGTCACTTTCTCATTCCTCTTTCTAAATATCGTTATTACGTGCCTACAGCAGGAGACTGTCAAAAAAGTGTGATCGGCAGCTCTCAATGGTCTGTTTTGCCTGTAAACGAGGACTATGCTGAAATCTTTGGGCAGAAACAGCTTTTAGGGGATGTGAAGCCTGGCAGCCCCTTAATCAGAGTTAACAATAAGGTGAAATCAGGTGGCGCAAGGAAATAATAATTTAAAAAAACCCCAAACCCCAAAACGATGCACATTCTTCCTCTTCAATTTGCACGTGGGGGTCGGTGGCTGACCGGAGCGGACGCAAATCTGTCAACCCCAGGCAGCAAACTCTCCAGGCGGAAACTGCCTTTTGTCATTTTGATGCGGACTCAGTGGGAAAGCTGCGCTGTAGCAATTTCCCCAGGTTTCCTTCGCCTGGCCGGAGGACCCTTTGGCGGCTCACCCAGCGTTTACCTGTTTAGTTAATAAGATGCTGGCTAAGCGTCCGCGCTTGGAAAGGCGCTCGCACGCGGGGCGCAGCGCGCGAGACCGGGTGGCGGGGAAAACGGCTCCGGTTTTTGCTACTGCAGACTGACGGGGACCGGACTCCTTGGAAGCTCCTCCCCCAGGGATGCTGGAGGGGCTGAGCGGTTCCCTGCGTCTGGCCCTGGCGCGCGGCCCGGGGTCGTGGCACCCAGCGCCACGCCGAGGGTGTGTCCGGGCTTGGCCGCGCCGCCCGCTTTCGCGGCCACTCGCGCGCACTGTGCCACCAGCGCATCTCTCCGCAGCCCCGCGCACTCGCAGCCTGCCCATGGCCTGTCCACCCTGCGCCACCGCGGCCCTCGCGCTCCAGGTACCGCGCACACGGGTGTCTGCGGAAGGGGGGAGGATTGGAATCCGCGGCCGGGCGCATTGCTGCGGCTTCCCGCACCATCCTCCTTCTCCGCCGCCGCCACCCAGGCGTCTCCGTTTCCTGCATCCCTGCCGGAGGAGGATAAAGTCCCCGCCTGCGAACGGTCTCGGGGAGGTTCCCGCCGGCCAGGTCTCAAACCCCAATGGGTGACCCACTGCGGAGCGCGGTGGGGACCGCAGCGGGGACGTGAGGAGGGCCACGCAGGTCGCTTTGGGAGGAGGCGGAGCGGAGTCTCTGTGCTGCCGGAAAGCACATCCTGCGAGCCTTCGCCACCCCCGAATACTCTGACCGCAGTCTTCTGCCTCTGCGGATCCCGTTCTTCTCCCTTCTTCGTTATTTAGCGGATTAGGTTTTCTGTTTTTTAAATTCTGCTCGTTTTCCCAATTAGTCCCGCTTTCCTTAGTCCTTATCTTTTAAATTGCTCCTTTGGACACCTCGAGGTTTTGTCCTTGAGGTGTGGCATCCGAGGACGCTGCCGGGGAGAAAATGCTTTACGCCGGTCCCAATCCCTTTTGCAGGCTCGCTTTTGTGCGCCGGTGATTGACAAGACCACGAGGCCCAGCGCGCCCAGGAGATTTATTATTTTTTTTTATAAATGGCTTAAAACCCTCGTCTCGACTATTTTCTAGGGTGTAAGGGAGACAATTGGCTTCTTGTTCCTTGGTGGTTAACCCCGGCTCTGTGGGGCTGACCTGGAATTTAACCAGTCCTCCCTAAACCGGCGGGGGGGACGGATGAGCGGCGACCTCGGCGGGTGGGAATGGGCGGCACTCGCGGGGCGCTCCGGCCGAGGCGCGGGCAGCGCCGGCCTGTTGGCGTGTCTGATCCCGCCTTTGTGTTAGCCTGAGTGCCGGCGGTCATGGTGAGTGTCGTGGTCGCGTTGATTACCCCGGACCCCCCGTTACCCACCTGGATTTACTTATTGACGGTTTTTAAAATCTTCTTTAAGGACTGCGGTAACGGATGCTCGGCAGAATGTGCCGGAGGAGGAGGCTCCAGAGAGGTGGTGGAGACTTTCATGGTAAGTGGTTTGCTTGTCCGAGTAAATCCGTTTCTTGCTGACATGGGGGACGTTTTCACTGTGTAGGTTATATGGTACGTGGCACATGCTGCCTTGCATTTTTAAATTCCACTTTTAGGGGGGGTAAAAGCCATTTGGAGGCGATAGTATATTCCTCCCATCCTAAATTACCTAGCAGGTTAATTGCGTATTTCATGAGTCCTAAATTTTTCTTGGAAAATAGTTAATAAGTGAAAATTAACCTTTGTGTTTTATCTGATTATATAACAAGAATAAGCTTTCACTCTCCTTGTGGAAAAAGTTAAACTGATTACGATTTTTCTCTAAGCAGCAGGTCATGCTTAAGTAAAAGTGCTGCCCGCTTTTCTTTTCTGTTTGAATTATGGGGTTTTATATTCAACAATCTCATGCTTCGTGGGAATAGTGAGGGGTAAATGAGATAGGAATCTCGTAGAAGTACTTTGAAAATCATAAAAATACAAGTGCATTATGTATTATTATTTTCACTATAAATCAGTAGCAACCCACCCCCACTCCCAGCTATGGAAGTTTCTGCTTCTCCTTAGACTTAATTCTGCTGTTCTGCCTGTTTGAGTCACTGTCAATTGTCTGTCACAGCACAGAGTGTTCTAATGACCTCACATCCTGGCAGAGGTCAGGGAGGGAGAGAAACTTGACTCATCAATGTCATAGGGAACTCAGCGCTTCCACAGTGTGCCAGGGACTGTTCTAGGCATTGGAAATGCAAAGATAAATTCAAGATAAGGCCTTTGTCCACAAGGATTTTTTCAAATGAAAATAGAATATGGCGATTTCTTTACTAAAGTGATTTCTGGTCCTTTAAAGATAATACCCTCTATAGCCCTATAGCAGTTCTGTGCTATTAATCCATGATGATTAAGCTCTAATACATCTGAGGATGTACATGATGAGATATGGGCTCTTAAAAAGAGTGAGGTAAAAGGTTGAGGTGGCTCATGTCTATAATCCTAGCACTTTGGGGAGGCTGAGGTGGGAGGATTGCTGGAGGTGAGGAGTGTGAGACCAGCCTGAGCAACATAGCAAGACCCGATCTCTACAAAAAAATAGAAAATTTAGATGCACAGCTGTTGTCCCAGCTATTTGGGAGGCTGCAGTGCTCGGATGCTCTCAGCCACATTGCATTTTCCTGCCGTAGACTTCCTCACTTGGGAAGAAATCATTACCCAACCAGAAACTTTGCATTAGGAAATTGTTGTCCTTATTGTTTTTGTCAGTATTTACTGTCATTTCACAATCAGTCCTTGTGACATTCCACATTTTTCCACAAGCATATGATATGAAACATCATCAGAGAATGTGAAGGATTGGAAAGAGATTAATGATGCAGGAGAGAGTATCATTTTATAAATACTGTTATCTTTATCCACCTTTGGAAAGGAAACCCTGAAAAAATTATTTTTAAAGACTACCGATAAACATGTAATAAACGATCGTTACCTGTTTTGTTCTGTGGCTCTCCCGCCCCCCCCAGAGCTGTGGTTGGTATCTACTAAAACCCAGTCACACACCTTCACTTGATACTGTGTGTTTACTTTGAATTCCATCCAACTGTAACCCCAGTTATTTTGGTTGTTCTTAAGTTGTTATAAGCAATGTTTTTACTTCTCAGAGTTTCAGAAATTTTTTCATATAAGGGAGAGTTCTTGATGCAATTCTGAAGCCATTCAATCTTGCATTACTTGGAAAAACTGGAGGTAGAGCATTCCTTAGGTACGAATCAGAAAGTTAGAAGGTTATTATTCATATCATTAAGAAATCACATGTCTTAGAAAGGAATGTCATGGTTTACTGAAGTAGAACTCATACCTGGTGATTTAATCGTTTATATTTAATTTTCTGAAAATTTCGTCGGTATGAAATTATAATTATAAGAAGACTAAGTGGGTCATTGTGGGTGGTTCTAGAGAGGGTTCAGAAAACAAATTTCTACATACTGGGCTATAATCCTTCTTTTCACCCACACTGATGTTTCTGTCTTTTTCTTACATCTTCCGAACCCCCTCTTTTTACTAAGAAACATTTACTACTAGTTTGAATAGAAGAAAATTCACATAAAATGTGTCTTGCGCTACTGATGTGGCTCCAGATTTTTCTTAGCCCAGCATCCTCCCCATCCACTAAAAAAAGCTAACCGCAGCAAAGTCACAAGTGCTCCATTGTGCAAGAATACTGTGAAACTATTCATGTAATAAAAAGTTTGTGCTAGAAATTTCACTCCCTTTAAAACCAGGCCATCTTCTGTGAATGAGTCAGTCAGTCATTAGAGGATGTATCTGAAACAAGCCTGACATTTTCAGTATTTAAGAAACCCTTTACTGTGCTAGCTTTGGAGATAACTGTAAATGCTTCAGCCAGAGTTCTTGTCTAAACAGTCTAGAGCAGGGACTGGCAAGCTTTGTAAAAAGGCCAGATAATAAATACTTCAGGTTTTTGGGCCATCAGGTTTCTATCACAACGAGTGGACTATACCACCAGCACAGGGAAAAGAATGGTGTCCGTGAGTTCTAGGCTTCACCCGCAAGTGAAGTTTGCCTCACCCTTACCTGGTCTGGAAGATAATGGGAGAGAACAGGATTCAGAGATCAGAACAATTTAGGTGGAATATATCCTTTTAAATATATGTGTGGCCCTTAGTAAAGGGCAAGTTAATTTATTACTTGGATTAAATGGTAATGGTGGAAGAAACCAATATTCTATTGAAACCTGGCATTTTACTGTCATAAAGTAGCTTTACTAGACTAGCATAAACATTATAGGAGTACTTTATTCTTAATGCCTTACTGTTCATTGTGATGTGAGCTTTCTGGTTGTTTTAGAATGTTTTTCAGGCTGAATATTCTAAAAATAAACTGCTTGTCATTCATAATATGTCAAGTGACTAAGGTAGCTGTAAGGCAGTGAATTAAATAGAAGTAATTAGATCATTTAAAACATAATGATAAAGGCAGGTGCCATGGCTGCTGTAAGGCAGTGAATTAAATAGAAGTAATTAGATCATTTAAAACATAATGATAAAGGCAGGTGCCATGGCTCACGCCTGTAAATCCTAGCCCTATGGGAGGGTGAGAGAGGGGGATCCCTTGAGCCTAGGAGTTCAAGACCAGCCTGGATAACATAACAAGACCCTGACTCTACAAAACAACAAAAATAATAATTAGGCAGGCATGGTGGCATCTGCCTTCCTGTAGTCTCACCTACTTGGGAGGCTGAGGTAGGAGGATCACTTGAGCCCCCGGAGTTGGAGGTTATGGTGAGTTATGATGGTGCCACTACATTCCAGCCTGTGAAACCCTGTCATATTAAAAGAAAAAAGATAAGAATTGATGATACAAAGTGAAGTTCTGTGTTTAATTTGGGGGAAAGGAATATTTCTATGTACTAGAAGAGATAGAACTTAACATTCCTTAAACCTGCTAACAGGTGTGAGCTGTGATGTCACAGCACTCTACCCAGGTGGACAGCTTGAGGCTCTGTCTCAAAAAAAAAAAGAAAGCATTTGCTTCCCACAGTGCGTGCAGAGGATCTTGAAGGCTTGTGCTGAGAACTCTTTGAGGAAAATGGAGCTTAGCTATTGTCAACTGGAAGTTCGTTTCTTTTTTTTTTTGAGACAGAGCCTCAAGGTGTCCCCCTGGGTAGAGTGCCGTGGCATTACAGCTCACAGCAACCTCCAACTCCTGGGCTCAAGCGAGTCTCCTGCCTCCGCCTCCCAAGTAGCTGGGACCACAGGTGCCCGCCACAGCGCCCGGCTATTTTTTTTTGGTTGCAGCCGTCATTGTTGTTTGGCGGGTCCGGGCTGGGGATTCGAACCTGCCATCTTAGGTGTACGTGGCTGGCGCCTTAGCCGGTTGAGCTATAGGCGCCGAGCCGGAAGTTCGTTTCTTAACAATGTTAGCGAATCCTTCTGCACGTTGCTGTTTTTATTATGGGAGATACCCCTTCTTTCCCAAGGGCTCAACATGAGTCCTTTCATGAAAATGAAGAAGGGATGTGTTTCTTTCTGCATCATTTTACCTTATCTACAATTTTGCCTTTGTTTCTAAATATCACTGAAATTTGGTCCCAAGAATCTATCAGGCAGGGTTCATTGGCTGCATTTTGAATGCTGGCAGGATTTTTTGGGCTCCCATAGTGTTAAATTTCTGTGTTAGTTTCCAACATGTAAAAGTCCAGTGATTTCACTGTTTGGCCTGTGTGTCATCTGGCCCATGGGAGTTGGTTACCCTCCTTTAATGGTGCTAATGTTTCTTCCCCAGGCGAAAGACTTAATAATCACACCAGCCACCATGTTAAAGGAAAAACCAGACCCCAATGCTTTGGTTTTCGGAAGTGTGTTCACGGATCACATGTTGACGGTGGAGTGGTCCTCGGAGTTCGGATGGGAGAAACCTCATATCAAGCCTTTCCAGAACCTGTCCTTGCACCCTGGCTCATCATCTTTGCACTACGCCGTGGAAGTGAGTTCGTGGGAATTCATGGTCATTGCATGCTTGTACTTTGCTGTGGGTACTCAGGAGCTCTGAGCCTAAATTAGCTTTGGGTCTGGGGGCACCCCAAGCCCAGTAATGCTGTGACTTATACAGACTCCTGGTGGTACCCTTTGTGGACTGGGTAAGATCTAAGCGAATTCCTTGGATTACCATGCAAAGTCTCTTTCTCTCTTCCCTCCCTCTTTGTGCTGGGCAGCTGGAGTTGGGGGAGGAGTGACATGGGCATTCTTTTTGGCCACCAAGACCAGGTCACATCTGAAGCCAGCCCAGTGTCACCCAAAGCCAGTGGTGACTGTTGCCTGGCTATCTCTGATGTTTATTCAAAGCCCAAGGGCCCTTGAGTCAGCAGGTGGTGAATCTTGCCAGGAGTGGGGCCCTTCCTTTCAAGGCAGCATGTTTCCTTCTGGCCCAGGGTGGGCCCAGAAATAACTCCTGGGAACTAAGACCCAGACTCAGGGACCCCAGGAGTCTGCATGGTACTTTGTTTTACTGTAGCTGAGCTGGTACCAAGTTGCAAAAGGAAGTCTTGAGCTCTTCGTATTTTTTTTTTTTTGAGACTCTCACTTTGTCTCACCCTGGGTTAGAGTACCATGGTGTCATAGCTCACAGCAACCTCAAACTCTTGAGGTCAAGAGATCTCTCTGAGTAGTTGAGGCTACAAGAGCCTGTCACAATGCCTGACTAGTTTTTCTATTTTTAGTAGAGATGAGGTCTCACTCTTGTCCAGCCTGGTCTCGAACTTTGATGCTCAAGTAATTTACCCACCTTTGTCTTCCAGAGTGCTAGGATTACAGGCATGAGCCACTGCCCCCTGCCTGAGCTCTTTCTCTTTCTTTCCTGAGTGGAAGAAGGCTCTCCCTGAGCCTGAGTTGTTTGGAATTGGGAGGCGGGGTGACCTGGGCACTGGTCTGGCCAGAGCTGTAGGGGGCTCACTGGGTCACATGGACTCTATGCCAGCACAGTGGCAGGTATTGCCCCAGGGGCCAGGCTGTTCTTTTCACCCCCATTAGTGGAGCTACCTGGAACTTGGGCTTCAGGGCAGAGCATTTCTTCCTGGCCAGGCTGATCAGAAGGCTCCTCCCTGAGCACTGGCAGAATTCTGGCCTGTGCGGCGTTCCCTTGTGCCAGGGTGGCCTGAGTTCCAATGCCAAGTTCACAATCACTTCACTCTCCTTCCCCCAGGCGTACAGATTCTCTCCCCACCTGTCTCACTGGCCAGGTACTGCTGAGGGAGACAGGAGGGTGGTGTAGGCCATGCACAACTGTTTCCTACCCTCTTCAGTGCCTCCTTCCTTGGTATAACAGTGTTAAGACCAGGTATTGTGATCACTCACCTGACTTTTGGTTCTGCTGAAGGTGCTTGCTGCTTGCCCGTGTGGACAGTTGTTGAATTAGGTGTTCCTGCAAAGGGACGGGCCCTGGAGGTTTCTATTCTCCCCCTGCACTGTTTAAAAAGACAATTCTTTCCCTCTGGTAAATCACACCACCTCTGACAGGTACACGAGTGGCTTCTGGATCTCCATTTTTGCTCCATCGTTTTACTTGTCTATCTGCGCAGATGCCACATTGTCTGACTCTCAGTCACTGAGTCTTGGTGTCTGCAGGGTCATGGTCTTCTGCTTTCTTCTTGAGAGTGCTGTGGATGTTCTTGGTCATTTTTTCCCCCCTGTACTATTTTTAGATTCAGTTTATTGAGTTAATGAGCTTTTGTCATTGAGTTTGTTGAAAGAAAGTAAAACGCCCTAATGTGATTTTTCCATTTGGATTACATTGAGTGTATAAATCAATTTAGGGAAAATCACCGTCTGTATAACATTAAGGCTTTTAGTGCTTGAGCATGAGATGGCTTTCCACAGTCAGTTCCCCCTCTCCTGCCCCGGCACCATTAAGATTTGTTAAGATTTTAATAACCTGGTAAAGTTTTATATTTTCCTTATGGGTCTTTCACTTCTCTTTTTAGATTTTTTTCCCCCCATTTAAGTGTTCTATCTTTTAATTCTATTGCAAGTAGTGTTTAAATTTTCTTTTTCTATTACTTAGGAATATAATTTTGCCTCTGGCCACCTTGCCTGAGGAAAGGATTTCAAAAGATTTTCTCTCAGATTTTCTGGGTTTTCTGTGTATTCAGTGACATCATCTGTGTTTCATGATCTGCGGCAGTTTTATTTTTTCTTCTCCAAATTTATGTATATGTATTTTATTATACTTGTCTTATACTGGTTGTACAATACTTAGTGAAAGTGGTTGCAGCAGGCTACCGTGTTTCCCTTAATAAAAATAAGACATCCCCTGAAAATAAGCCCTAGTGTGTCTTCTTGGGAAAAAATAAATATAAGACAGTGTCTTATTTTCGGGGAAACACAGTATTTGTAATATTCCCAGTTTGAAAAGGAAAGC